CTCTCTCTCTCTCTCTCTCTCTCTCTCTCTCTCTCTCTCTCTCTCTCGCTTCAGCGTCGTTATCGTCCTCATCCGCACGAAGCATAAACGGTATCAGCAGTCCAGTTAACACCGGCGATCATTCAGCTTCGTCGATCCATTTCGACGCGAAACATAACGATTGCCTATAAGTGAAAAACAATCGAGGATATCACGTGTTCGGACGCCAGCAAAGGAAGCATTATGACAAACGCACGGCCGTATCGATGATAAACATGAGAGCATTGGTTTTCATTTTCTGGATGCTAGTCTTCAGATCAATCTTGACTGCTTCTTTCGTATACGCCGAGGATCAAGTGAGTATATTGATTAGAGTCGAAACAAGAGTCAAATCTTGGAAATTAAATTTGTTTGCCGAGTATAAATTATTACGGTAGGAACAAAAGATTGCTTTTTTTTTTACATTTCGGCTCCTGTACAGGTAGGGCAGGGGGTTGTCTTCGGATCCCTCAATGTCTAATATATGTAACGATTATTCCTCGGAATGTAACTCTGAAATTTCGTTTGCGCAGTTGCTACGCCACTGAATGGGAAATGATCTTGCAATGCACGCTTCCCAGAAGTAGAAACGTTCCGTCTCCCTGATGGCTGAGCGTATCCCATTCCGCTCCGTTCCATTCCAGCGTGTAGTGTACCGCTGCGTCCCTTTTCCCTGCTCGATCCCTAATATCTCATCCACGAGCCAAACACGGCATCTTTTGATGTCGTGCCGACCGCGCCGCTACCTTCAACCTGAACCCTCACTCTTCCCTCTGCAACAGTCAATCAACCGATTCGCTTTCGTTGCAGTAGTATACAGTCTTATTTCTAAGGTTCTCCCCAACATCCAAAATAATCAATAAGTACGCTGTAATTAATCGATTCGTTTGTTTGTTCATATAGACGAGCGACGATGATTCGAGCCGAACAGTGGAAGGGATCGTGATCGAACGAACGATCGCGAAACCTCTCCTCCCCTCGTTTGGAAATAAGAGAAACGACGAGGACAAGGAGGAGACGTTCCCAACGAGACACGCGAAGCACCGGAAACGACGTCGTTGTAGTAAGAACCGATCGAGCTGCTCCCGAGGGAGTCTGACGACAAAATTGGTCTCCCCAGGACGCAACGACACGAAAGATCGAGACGTCGTCAATGCGGTGTTGGACGTCGAGGAGGAGCCGCGAGAACGACTGATTCTTGAGTTATACAACGAGACCAAGGTGGAAGACTATGATGTTAGTAAAAACAACGAGGAGAGGGACAACGTCGGCGATCTCTCCGCGTTCGAGTTGACGGATTCTTACGGCGGTCGTGTACTTCAAGACGAGATCGAACTAGAGGGTACAATTACGCCCTCCTGGGAGGACACTTCGTCGAAGAAGCAAGAGATCGACAAGGACAACGGTTACTCGGACATCTACGCGGACATCGACGACCAAGTAACGTTTCACGAGAGCTTCGGCGTTTTGTTGACCAAATTGTTTCAAAGCTTGCGAAATGCTTCCGTCGCAAACGGCCGGGACATCCTCAAAGAGTTGAATTTCGTAAACACTACGAACGAAGACCCTTGCCAGAAATGGCTGAACAGCAGGGACAAGCTCGAGAAAGTTTTTTTAGGTAGGTTTAGCGAACATATGTATAACGCGGTGAGACCCGAGAGTACATTTCAAGTCGCGATCCAGGTCCTCTCGGGTCTCGTCTTCTCGTTGACGTGCCCCAACCGCGCCAACCTAGAGATCTATTGTCCCGTGGGCCTGTTCCACAAATTGTTCCAGGTGGCCTGGCTTCGTTGCCCGCCTGTCCGTGCCAATACCCGAGCAACATCTTTTACGACGACAAGATATGGGACGAGAGGCAGAGGCGGTACTTTAGGTGGCGGGACGTGAGCGGTGATTCGCAAAGGCTCGACGTCTACAAGCCGGGAGCTGCTTACTGCGTGCGTTCGTTGCTGACGCAAGAAAGCGGAAGCGCGGCCGCTCAGCACTGCTGTTACGATCGCAGGAGGAAACTCGTGACCCGCGGTTCCGGCGCCGGGACTCCCAACTTCGTCAGTCCAGAGATATCCGCCATATTGCACGAGAGGATCGACGTGCTACCGTGGAGACTGTGCAAGGGAGATTTTTCCAGGTTAATGAACCATGTATTTATATTAATTAACGCTTTGGAGTCAACGAACCTTAGAACATTAAGAATCTTAATTTAAGATGGTGGTCTGTACTCACACTGAATCCTTTTTCCTCACAGGTACAACAGAGTGAGACCACCAAACAACGACAACGGCTGCGAGGCGAATCCTGACGACGAGGAATACCAGAGACAGATAGACGATAAGAAGTACTACTAGCGATTAAGTTTTCTTTCTTTATTTTGATATTTGCGATACTTTTAAGTATAGACCTACGATCATGCACGTCTATTCAAATACAATGTAAATAATTTCCACATATTGTCCTAATTTTATTTAAACTTTATATTTGTATATTCATTACGGATCTTTGACCAAATACTTTGCCAATAAAGAAGCAATTTTTGTAATCAAACTGTGCCAAATTGTTTGTTCTCCATCTTTTGCAAAGCCGTGAGGCCATTGGATCCATGTAAGGTTTAGAAGAAGAGACTCTATTGTTTAAGTTTTAAATAGACGCGCTCTTACCGAAATGCGTCGAAAGTTTGAAACCGGTTTCAGGCTTGGCGCGCGTATGTACGGCGAGGCTTCCAGTCACGTTTCTTGCGTTGCTCATTGAGGAAAAGAGGGGAACAGGCGAATACAGACACAGGACGAGCTACAAAGTCGACTCAACGGCGCATGGCGAGGCGAGACGGTCAGTTGTTGTTGTTATGGTTACCACTCGTCAACATACGGGTTACGTGAACTGTTTTCTTCCTGCGTAAATTGAAAATACGATAAACAGTTATGGACTGGGCCGCGGATCTGGAAATCACGTCGAAGAAGGTAAATCGTGCGACTTCTACTCGTATCTGTTACCTTCTTTTTCTTTTACATCATTCGATGGTAGTATATGTATACAGCCATCACTGTCGCATAACAGTACCTGACATAATTCTGTGGACAACGGACTTTCAGCTTTTACCTCGTCTCGGCAGACGATCAATGCAAAACGTTGCACAGGAGGATTCCAAGTCGGACGATGACCTCTTGGAAAGCCCTATATCGATATCCTCTGGAAAATCGGCACAACCACCCGTTGTACCTCCACGCACCAGGAAAACGGGATGGGGAGACGAACTAAAAAGCGGGAGGTAAGATATTCTGTCAGGAGTGAATTCACCATGGTATCGATAAAGAAAACGAATAAAAATTACATTTCTAATTAGAGAATATTTTGAACAGTTTCTTTAACATCTCGTAATCGTATTAGCGATATTTACTCGGTATTAGCGTCGACAGAACTAATAGGAAAATAAATAAATCATAATAATAATAACACTTGCTCTTCATAAAACATTTCAGAAAAGGAAAGGACCTCTCAAAGTAATTAGCTTCGCGCCCCTGATAAGTCTAAATCCACAGTATCTAGAAGGCTTGGCTAGTTATTCGTTCACTGAGATGAAAACGATGTAAACAGTTGGTCACGTGATCAGAATTCTCATTTGTCCCTTATGTCGACGCTCCGCGGTTCAAGGATGTATTCTTTGGCCAGTGTAACAAGTTCCTCCTGAAACTACGGCGCACATTGACTCTATTGTATGTATCTATTTGACGCCTAACCGTGGTTTCCCATTGTTGCTGTCGTGTGGTTTTGTTTACCTTGATTTTCATCCTCTCGGTGAACGAACCGTAGTAGTCTCTCACTTCTCTGTTTCTCGTTTCTAGATCACGAGGAACATCGAACTTCATCGAACAGTGAGTATAGCGAATGGAATTACTATATCAGATGTCCACAGTCACTGATAGATTATTTCTTAGGGAACGTTTTCGAGGAACGGAGAAGGATGAACCCGTAGATGGTGAGAATTTGTTTACAATCGTTTGGAATATGGCGCTCGAAGAGACAAAGAGAGTTAAAATGATGAACTTATTTAAAAAATGATACTCGTATGGTAATGGAAAAGCGATTCAAGCTCCCTCTTTGAAGAGAACATTACTATCTGTCGATCATAACGTTCTTAAGAATTTAAACTTGGAGCTACTTTTATTTTTCATTTGTAGATATTCCAGTTATACCGGATTTAGACGAAATACAAGAAGACAGTGCGTTATCAGACATCAATACAACCACGTATGCATCGTTTTGTGCAGCACTAATTTCCGATGTATTTTCTTTTTTACAGATTTCTTTTATTTCGCTTTAATTAATTACTTTGTAGAGTCAACGTGAATAGGGTTGCCGCGTACAAAGAGCTGGACACAGACTTGGTAAAAAACTCTGCATTCACATCTTTGAACGGAATCAATCTTTCCCTTCTTGCTGAGAAATTGTACACCGAGAATCTGACGAAAGAACCGGACGAAGTGTGGAATTGGAACCTCCTCTTCACTCAAGTCTCTTCTGAAATCAATAGCGAGACACAGAAGAAGATTCCTACGTAAATCTCGCGCGTTAATGATAAGCTCAAGTTGATGTATTTATTGGTTTTGTAATATGAAAATAAATTAAATATCATTGTCTATTTCCTTCTCATCTTTATATGTTATTTTGTTGATTGTACATTTGGCATAATGTGTGATGAAATGGGGGCTGAAAAATATTAAAAAAAAGAAAAAAAAAAAAATGGCATACTGCTTATCTGCAGTGCCTGTATATGGAAGCGACAAATTAACCTCGTCTGACCTATTCGATTTGCCCCCCAATTTGGAAATCGCGGTAGTTCGAGGAGCGACGTGAAGAGACTCGACCGTGCAGGCGTGCAAATTCGAGGTTGCACGAACCCACGATCTTGAACGCGCAATCGGGAGCCGAACACAAGCTACTTGAAGCGACCACGTGACAACACCCACTGAGCAGATCTGCCACACCAATTTCTACGTTAGCGATCAATGTTCAGCTGTGCCATCACTAGCACACACTTCCGAGAGTATCGTTTCGGAACTCGTATATAAAGGAACGAAAGCCTGATCGAGCACTTGCGAGAAACGTATCATATGCTTCACACTGAATATCCAAACATTTACAGATAAAAAATAGTTTTTTCCATACACGAATGATATTGCAATATGTTAGAAGAATTTATTTCAATGACGAAACCTGTCATAAAGGAATTATTTAGCTCGAACGTGAATAAAACGTTCAAGTTTTCGACTCGACAGGCCATCTAGTGGATATACGCGGCAACTACAGTTCGCCTTAGAGTACGCCGGCGCGTACGTGTTTGAAATTGGCAGAGATGAAATGATAACCCTCTCATATCAGAATTACATTCTAGATTTACGTGTTTGCGCGAAACCCAAAATTAACAAGTACCGAAAAGAAAGAAGAAAAGAAGCTCTAGTACTAGAAGCTCTAATGTATTGCGATGGGCACGGCACACGCTTCGGCGAAGAAAGCGGAGGAACCAAGCGTGATATCCAACGACGAGGAGTACGTACCGTGCAAGGAACCGCAGGACAAAGGCCCTGGAAATCCAGGAAGCTTCGAGGATCTCCACATAAAAGTGAAGGACCTGTATCCCCAGAACTTCGAGGGAGCGCGACTGACGATTAACAAAGTACTTAGCGAACATTTCAAGGTGACTCATTCGATCACTCTGAGCTCCGTGACTCCGTCAGGCTACAAATTCGGCGCGAGATACATTGGAACGAAGAGGGTGGGCCTAAAAGAAAAGTACCCTGTGGCTGCTGGCGAAATATCGCCAAATGGAAACTTAACCGCCTCGTTCGTGCACACTTTGGGTTGTAGATTCAGATACAAACTGTCGGCCCAAATCGCCAAAGAAAAGAGCAAGGCGTTGAGTTCCAGTTTGGAGTATCGCGCCAACGATTTCACCGTGGCGATAACTCTGGCCAATCCACAAATAATTAGGAAACAAGGAACAATGGTAATGCACTTTCTCCAATCGATCACATCGAGGATCGCGTTAGGAGCGGAGATCGCGTGTCTTCGCGGCTCCAAGATACCTGGTGGTCAGCAAACCGTCATGTGCATGGCTTTTAGGTACAGCACAGGACCTACCACGTTCTCTGGCACTATCGGCGAAGCAGGCCTGCACATATGCTACCATCGCAAGGCCAGCCCGCAACTAGAACTCGGGGTCGAGCTAGAGACCAACACGCGTACCTATCACTCGATAGCTACTATCGTTTATCGTGTCAACATCCCGTACGCGGATCTCGTGTTCCGCGGTATTGTTAATTCGGAATCCTCCGTCGGTGGGGTGTTCGAGAAAAGACTGTACCCGATACCGGAGTCGTCGCTGGTCATTAGTGGTCTCTTGAACCATACGAAACAGCAATTTCGCGTGGGCGTCGGTCTCAATATCGGACAATGATAATGCCAAATATATATAGGTAATATCAGCTTACGAGAACTATGCGATGTGTGTAACGTTATCGTTGTTGTCTTTCATACAATATCCTCGTCTGTAAATACGATAGAGACGAATATGATAAAAAGAAATTAATATAAGAAGGTTTTATTATTTTTCTGAAAGATTACAGAGTGAAAACCTTTTGCATTGCTACAACCGACATTGTCTTACAATAATGTAATATGTAAAGAGCGCAGTCAGTTTGAAGAATCGCAATACTTGCATGTGCGTCATGTTTGCGTGAAACAATAACGTACTACTCCTGTACATCGATCAAGGCAGAATTCTACAAGAATGTAATGTCTATCTAATCAGACTGAAGCCTAAATGCAGCTGTTTAACACTGTGATATTGAAACATTTACCATGAAAACATTTCTTTATAAATCTTTAATTAAATATATTATTTTATTCGTCTCCGTTTGCTATCCTCTCGTCCAAATCATCGTACTCGTGGAAAGCGGTGGTCTTTAACTTGTCGAAATTTACTTCGAACTTCTCGCTAAGAAGTCCATTTTCATCGGCGTATTCTAAAATATCACAGATCAACGGCGATTCGACTCCTAATACGTATTCGCATGTCTTTGGCTCGAGCAGAAACAGAGAAACACTCGATGGACTGGCTGCAAGACCTTCGACGCACTTTAATTTTACCTAAAAATCAAGTACTTATTAATTAAGTTGAATTTTTTGCGCACAAAATTGTTTACTTGTTGTTTTATGCGACGTACCTCGGTTTGTCTCGGACTACCAGTCTTGTCGCAGATGCTCCCATCGCTATAGAAATGGGAAAGTTGTTTCCGTAGCTGTGGTGACTTTGGCCTCTTATGTGGATGACTGGTAATCCAATCCAAGTGTTTTTGTTTATCGAATTTACCGAGATTTACTATTGTTTTTGTACCATCGCGTTCCACGTGATATTGAACCACCGAACGTCCATAACAGAATTCGTACTTCCACCATCCGTTGCCCTGTTCGTATCAATCAGATGTTGTTTCCTTCGATATAATTAGAATACCCTATGAAAGGAAGAGATACTTACTCCGTGTAAACAATTTTTTCCGCTCAAAAAATTTTTCACAGGACTAACTTCAGCTGGACTGATACCTTGATCTGCTAATGAATTTATAGTATCATCGATATTATTATGTTTATCGATAACATCAACAGGATGTATTTCAACTCTAACGCGTGCTTCGCCGTCCTGAAATGGATGTAAATCTTGATGATTAAATTATTCTTTAGAATACGCGCTAAGTGAACGGACTTGCAACAATTATGATCGATGTTAATATCAACGCGATGGACCTTATTAAAACCATGAACGCTATGTATTGTTACTCCTTCTTAACCGCTAATGAGAGCAAAAAGAATAAAAGTGTACATTACATCGAATAACTATTATGTAAACTGATTTTTAATATCAACACATTTTGGATTCATTTTGGAGATACATGCATCGTATAACATCAGAAGCTAGAATATGTATATAAATTTGACAATCGTTGGTATCCAGTAGCTGTTTGAAGCAATGTGATAAGCAACAATGATAAACATGGACAATGCTGTAAGTTTGAACGTGCTAAAGTAAAGCTTAGGGACATTGCAGTACAAAAGATATAACAGTGCATGAATAACATTCGTAACATTATTGTATCATTGTTTTAGAAAATATGTAGTTTCAAAAGAAACAAATATATGTAGAAAAGGAAGGGACAGAACACATTAACGATGACAAATGACAAGAACCATCAAGCGATTTAACCTGACCCCAAGATTACAAAATATTCTGACCTGGCCCTCCTTATCTACATGCAAGATTGCATAGACTTTCTGCAGCTTGTCATCCTGTGCAACAAAAATAAATTAAGCATATAGACAATAAATGAATAAAACCTGAATTATATAACATTAGGCTACAAACAAAATCATAACATAGCATAACTACACAAGGTACACGAATTACATGTGAAAATACTTAAAATTCATAGAAAAAAAAAACAATACAGTGATTTATATCGACAAAGTACATTGCACAATACTCCAGTGTATTTATAACTTCTTATTTGAAAACATTCTGCATGTCTTTAAAATAAATCATTAAAATTATTATTGCCATACACAGAAAATAAATAACAAAACATATTTTATTTTAAATGACAATATTATGTACATACGACACAAGCATAGTTAAAAATAATGTAAAAATAAAGAATGTACAAGTGATTTTACCGTCACTTTCTGATGTCGTAGTTTCAAACTTTCTATCTCCATCGCGATAAGAGACCTTGGTTTCTTTGGTGCTGTATCAATTGGCAGACAATCAATTTCATTTTCTCTTGTATCTCGTGGGTTGTAGTCAGGATGAATACATAGCAAAGGAGAAAGGACAATAACTTCGTATTCGCAACTGACAGGTTCAGTTACCGAAAATAGTTCATGTTTATCATGTTGATAACAAACATATAGAACTTTAACCTTTCGTGGTTTGTTATTGACATTGCAAACTGTGCCATCTGTCATCTCAATTTCCACGTAAGGCATATTGATTCCATCTACTTTCTTAATAGGTATATTTTTCTTCCTATTAGGATTTTCCTCTTGTTTCGCATATTCTGCCAAGAGCTTTAGTTCTTGAGATTTATCAAAAATACCCAGATAATACTCTTGTGTCTTTACCTTTTTCCCATCTCTTTCCTCGTGATACTGACGTACAAATCTTCCGTGACATAATTCATATGTCCAATAAGATTCAAGCTACATAGATTACAATAGTCTTATACAAAGGAATTATATGTGATAAGTTCTGATATTGATACATTTTTTTAAATACGTACCCTGTAGACACAGGTGTTATGATCTGATAACAAAAATAAAATTTGTATCGGAGTTGGTCCATTGTATGGTTCATTATAATCTTGCTCTTGGATAGTAGTATCAGGAATTAAACACTGATATCTTTCATTATTTGCGGTTGTTATAAAATAAGGTTCCACATTTGTTCGAGACTCCTATGAGAAGTATAGACACGATTAATCCATGAAGAAAATACATTACTTAAAAGTATTTGAATTTTCTTCGATACTTGTACTCACTAATAAATCGGAATTAGCTTTCCCTGGCCAATTAATTTTAAAGAGGACCGTGTCATCGAAATTTCTGAAATTGTGTCCATATACAACACCAACAATGAAACATAACACGTTACAAAGACCACAGTATTTCCACATTTTTATAAAACTGTAATTATTTCACCATATTTTTAGTCGATGTGTACGTATGTAGTATTTACGAATATGATACGACAATGACACTACTTATCAACGCTAAGGTACTGTCACTATCGAAATTTAAAAGAAGAACTAACGTAATAAATATATAGGTGCACTGTAGCGTGTCACTGCCTTCAAAGGAATTTTAATTTTATTCTTTACAAAAGAGAACCATTTCACATGGTCTTCTCGTTTAAATAATTATTTTTCGAGATGTTGACTCTACAAATACGAAATTTTCAGTCTCTAACCCTACGTGTGTTCAAATACGAGTAATTTTATATCACGTGAACAGTATACGTGGTCATCTGTCTTTGCAACGTTGTTCACTTTTGTATAATACAACGAAGAACAGTTAAAAATAAAAACGTATAACCATTAATCACGTTATCAATAAATATTCAAGCCAAATTTGTTTATGTCTGTGCAGTAGAACAATTTCATAGTCGTCACGAGGTTCTGAAAATATGTACACAGCCCTGGTTTGTTATCTGTTTACTTATTAGGTTTTTATTATACCTTGAAATATACTGGTTTTTGGTGCCAGTGGCGCCATCGGTGGGAAGACGCCCAAATTTGCCCTTATTTTTCATAAATGCATAATTAATACGATTCTTTGCTTCATACTACTACAATATATGATGTTAATTTATTATTTAGAAATTATTATTATTTAAAACGTTTTTCAGCAATAATTATTGACCCTTTAATTAGTGACGCCATCTAGCAACAACAGTAGCAACATTTCATATCTTTCAAATTTTTTTTATTAATACAGAGCATGTACAATTGCAAAAGATTTTGTTACTATTCATAGTCATGGTAATTTGCATAAATTCGATTGTATCTGTATCTGTTTGAGCCACAGCTCACATTTGGTAGACCCTGTTGGAATCACGTGGTTTTGTTTACCTCATTTTCATCTATCCCCATGAATAAACTGTAAAAAAACAAAGTAAAGCACTGTTCTATTACAGAGATCAGTGTGTGTAAATCACGTAAGCAAAAGGAATACAATTCAAACAATGGATTAAAACAAAGTCGCATTCACAAGGCGTCCGAATTTTCATTCCCGCGTCAATTAAATCATATTTCATGCATTCAGTTTGGAATCCTTCTTTAGCAATGTTAGCTGATTCGTGAAAAGGCGAAGGTATAACTTTCATTATACCATCATAATCAGTACATGTAGAGTACTCAAGTACTCTCCAGGAGGCCGAACCAAGAGGTCTACTCAGTAGTTCTTACCGTTCGAAAGTTTATAGAACCGCCATTGTTACCGAGTAAGTAGCAATCTGACAGCATAGATTCAACGAAATCGTTTTTGCAGCGAAAATTTCACGAGCCTAGTGTGCCTTCTCGACATTGTGATAGTTTAGTTCGTGATTCGTGACCGAGAATCGTGATTGGGGACTCGATTCGTCCAAGTGGAAAAAGGCAGCGCAGCGACCAACAGAACAGCAGCGACCAGTTCGACCTTAAAAAGTCATTTGCCGTCGGTTGTTCCGTTCGTGTTTCTCGCGCAAGAAAGTAAGATAATTCGGGAACTTGTGCTTCCAGCTAGATTAACATGTCGGACACGAGACGTCGTCGAAAGTCTAATCAATCGTGTGGTTCCGATGACCTCTCGGACTCTGGCGAGGAGTTGAACGCAACGAAGGAGACCCAGGTTAGTTGATACGAAAACGTTTTTCTGCTAGATATTTCAAGAACTTCAAGAGATGCAATTTTCATTCTTTTTTCCCTTGATTTTTATAATGTTTCGAGCTCTATTTATCCAAGTTTCTCTTTCGTGTTTAACTGGATCAAAATTTTGGCGAAAGACCCGATTAAGCGGATTAAGTAGACTGTTGTAATACTTCTGTGTATAATTCTGAACTAGGGAAAGTTTTCTGTGTTCGATTTACCGGCAATTGGCCTCGCGATTGTTATAATTTCATCCGTATGCGAAAGTATTGACACTCTAGAGTACAATTTTTTGTGCATTTATTATCCATGTACACCCACACTTGTGTGTTTTTATACTTTTGTACTTTTTTTGCATATTCCTTTTATAGAGCAGCGAACAAACCAGTGGGCACCAGGATTCAGAGTGTGACGTATATCCATCTGATTCTGATGTTGAATCTCAGGATGGTGCATCCCAAGATGGTGCATCTCAAGATGGTGCGCTAAGGGAGAGTGGAGATGGCCAGGAAGAAGAGAAACCTCAAAAGAAGTTAGATGATGATGAAGATAGAAGGAATCCACAGTACATTCCTAAAAAAGGAACATTTTATGAGCACGATGATCGAACTGCAGATGAAGTTACAGATAATAATGCAGAGCCACCAAATGAGAGGGAAACCAAAGAAAAGAAAGTATGGAAAGATAAAGAAGACAGATGGGATCATGATCGATATAACGATGAAGAGCAAGCACCAAAGAGTCATGAAGAGTTGATAGCAGTTTATGGATATGATATAAGGAACGAGGAAGGCCCACCCAGAGCTCGAAGAAGAAGAAGATATGGGTAAGCTTATTTTTACCAATGTCAAAAGATACAATATCTGTTTCTTTATATATTTTATTTGCTGCAGCCGTGGTCCTAATAAATATACACGTAATTGGGAAGATGAAGATGCGTATGGAAAACCAGGGACTAATGTTACCACCAGAAATAAACGGTTTAATAGAAGCGGTGAAGATTTTCCTGCTCTAGGAACTAATAAGAACGCTTCCCCACAAGTAGAAGAACCAGTAATTTCATCAGCTTGGTACAGTAGTAAAAACAAATCCCAGAATAAAGTACAAAACTTTCCACCCTTGCAAAGTCAGGGTGATAGTCCAAATACAAAATCTAGCAGTACATCTAATGCTCACACGTGCGTAATGTTTTTAAAATAATTAAAGTTACTCATATTATTTGGTTGGAAATGCTAGTTGAACATTTTAACTTATAGAAATGAAAATAAAGCTCCTAATGAGCCTACAAATCCAGCCTGGAAGAAGGACACAAAGAATTCGTCGCATACTCAAAGCAGCAATGGAAATACTGGAGCAGGTGGTGATGCAGATCAGTTGGTTAATGCAAAAACGTCTCCAAGAGATAATAACAAGAGGAACGTCCAAGAGTCTGTAAGCTTGGCAGCTAGTAGAACTCGGGGGCGAGGATTCAGGACGAGCGTTAATAACAATATGGTCACCAATAGAACGGTTGAGACTAAACCAAAGGGACGTGGAGCGGGCCCAATCACCGCTGAGAATAAAAGAAATAGTACTATACAGAACGACGATGAACAGCAAATTACGCACGATATGAAACATATTAGCGTTAATGATGGTACACAGTATCACCAAAGTGGAAGACACAACAGTAAGTGTTTAATGTGTGTGTATGTGTTATTTGATGCTACATTCTACATTGATCTTTTTCAGAGAACTTTTATGGACAGTCGTCTAACCAACAGAGATCGAGCACAGTACCTCCAAGAATGCAGCAACAGCAGTCTCATACACAGCAACAGCAACAATCGCCGCAACAACAATCGATTCAACAGCAGCAAGACGGTGCTGCTAACAGACCGAAACGATACTCCAGTTTACGGCAACGCCCTACCGTGTCTGAGACTCCGGGACAACAGAATTACACACCACAACACACACAGCACGGGCAACACAATCAACATAATCAACATAATCAACACAATCAACATGGATATTTCCCTCCTCAAGGTAACAGAAGAGTCTAGAAATATTTTTCTATGGCATTATTTCTAAAATCTGTTTTTGGGTCATCGATTGTAGTACACATTTCATATTAATGCGTAACTTTATGTACATGTGCCTAGCTGGAAATTCAAGAGGTGTTTTAGAGTCGCAAGGTAAGGCAAAGTAGAGTTGTTTGGTCGATTGCGCGAACCGTTTTCTTGCATCTACGTAATTTTTGTATTTCTTTAGAACTAATTTTATGCCAAGACTGCGTGAACGTGCATCTGCGTATGTATATATTATTTGATGTAAACTTTATTTGATAGGATATCCACAAGGTCATTTCGAACAACCCGCGCCTGTTGCTGCCGCAGCCGCTCCCATAGCTGCACAACCTGTTATTCCTTTGCCACCCAATGGTCAACCTGCTAGCTATGCTCCACCACCGTTTTTGGTACCGCCACCGCAGTTTATTTCTCCTCAGACGGCTCCACCTAGTATAATTAATTATGTTTCCGGTCCGAACGGACCAGCATTTCAACCAAATTATCAAGGTTATCAAGGATACAGTCCACCGGTGCAGGTATAGTTGTGATTATAGGGATACTTATTTTCATTATTCTTAGATTTTCATGGACATTTGTAATTTGTTAGCCACAACGTCCCCCACCACCGCAAGAATTGTTTCAACCGCAAGGTTGTACTTACTACAGTCCAGCACAGCAACAACAACAGCAACAGCAGTCGGCTCCAATGAGACGGCCCAAGGCTGCTATTCCAATTCTCCCACCACCGGACAATCAACATCAGAGTAGTAGAGGGAGAGGTAGAAGCATGCAGCAACAACAAATGAATCAACCCGGTAATATGCAACAAACTGACCAAGAGGTCAAAGATAATTTGGTGCAAGACGAACAAAAAACTATATCGGAGCAGTTTGATAGTACGTTGATCGACGAACAGACTGTGCAACTTGAAGAAACGGAGAAAAATGAAGATTTAAGTGCAATAACGAATACTGTGATCGAAGACGAAAGAAAAAATGTTACAGACGTTGATATCGATACAATCGTGGACTCGCAAGTTGTTACGTCGGATCCAATAAAAGAAATATACGCTAACGATTCGATGAAGGTTACTATAGATGATCAAAATATTATTCCTCCTAAATCTTTGCATACAGTCATGGAAAAGACTGAGAAAGATTCAAGCGTAACTGAAATTGCTACGCCTGAAAGCACAGTTGTGGAAGAAGCAGCAGCTTGAAAGGATGTCGCACAGGTTTTAATACTTTTTGCAAAAGACGTAATTGTGAATCTTTGTGAGCACGAGTACGCATTACATTATAACGATGCCGTGTAATATTAATGAAATTACTATACAGTACGTGTAGTGAATTGGTTTTCACAGGTTGCTTGCGAAACACCGTAGGAATTGGATGTGTGGGTGTCTACTACATATGTATTTTGAATGATTTTATGTAATTCCAGCATATTGTTGTATATTTCGTAGTTTACATTTGGAATAATGTTTCGCTACGAATTCTATCGACTTGCTGCTACTATTACATCCTTTAATATTGTTAAATTACTTTCATTTATGAAGTCTACTAATAATCAATTATTAGTGGAGAGGACTAGTGTTGAATGTATTATTATATGTATATCGAGTATTAACGCATACAGCATCTATGGTGAGATGGTTAATAAATCGATATATCTTTTCAATACAACGGCTATTGTAAATAGATTGTAGTCAGGTCAGTAACCTCAATATGCATTATGTCTTGTGTACAAACACGTTTGTACTGCGATTTGTTGATTAAATAATCACTACGTAATCTTACTTCTGTTCCGATAGCGAAGGAACATCTTTTATTTGCATGCACTGCAAAGAAAATGGTAATTATTATAATTTAGCTTATCAACAAACTGTAGTTAAGGCTAATTACTAATCTTGTCATTGATTACATCTATCGAACTCTTGGTAACAAATGCGAGAACTTGAAATCATGTTCAACTCTTTCTTCTTTTTTTATACTACGCTTACGACAATATGCTTTGTTGCTGGCAAGGTGGAATGGAATGATAATATATTGATAAGAAGTTTTTTCATACGTGACTAAATTTATTTTTCCTCTTTTTTTTTTCAATTTATCAAGGTATACAGAAACCAGATGTAAAAATTTACCGATCAGGTTTAAAACCTTTCGTTCAAGAGGATAGAACATTGAGTGATCGTACTATGGAATTGATTCCTGTGTTAAATAATCCTCGTACGTGATGAAAATGTAATATTAGTGAATTAAAGATAGGTTCCATTGAGTTTACGTGAAATATTAGGAATATTGTTCACAGTACGAGATTTACGTTGCATTATATTTATAACATAGTAGTAGTAGTAGTAGTAGTAGTAGCAGTAGTAGTAGTAGTAGTAGTAGTTACATAGATATATCTTATTCAACTTTTTATATACGATTCATCAGCGCCTTTGGAATATTGTTAAAAAATGATAGGTACAATAACGATCACGAATACGATGATTCGATTACAAAGAATAACGTGCAAACGTGCACGCGCATCTATCGTTTTAGTTGACGCTTTGCGAGAACGAATTTTGAACTTGTCCACCGATAACTATTATTATTATCGCAATAAGTACATTTAAAGTAATTCGATGTTTTATTACATCATCATATTCGGATAAAATTCCAGTGTCTACCAATTTTTACGAAAGTGGAAACAAAATACAATCGATTTTCCAAGTTTCATCTGTTATTTAAATTCTATCCAATGGAACATAGCGTCTTTTCATGTAATTATCGATTACCGTATATCTTACCATTACAGTTTAAATTACATGTAAATAAATTACACTTATGAATCCTACTGGGCGTCTGAGAGTCACGTTCACCGAGATGTACTTACGATCACTCGTGTTTTTCGTTTTGTTGATCAGTCGTTATAGCACTCAGCGGTATAATCTCCGTGTTTCGTTGAACGTTGTTGTTATTTTTTGATGTTATTCGTGTTGTCGTGGTCCGAGATTTATTTATTCTAGGTAGATTAGATGAACTCGCGAGGTACCCGCGTTGAAAACGCGAATCATTTCCTCGCGTGCATCGAAATGAACGCCTAAATTCCTTTCGAAATTTTCCTGAAACGTAAAAACGGTTGAATTAAAATGATTGAACGGTTTTGAATTTCAGTTCCAGTTACTCAATAACCGGGTTATTTCGGTTTAATTTTTAATGTAAACGATAAGATAAATCGTTACGAAAATCAATCGAAATTGGTCGAACGTTAGTTACGCGTCGATTCTGTGTGCCGTGCGCGTCAAGTGGTTTGTGAGTACAACTTTTCTTTAAAATTGAGAAGAATATAGGTGTTTTCGTTAAGTTTTTGGCAAGTAGAACTTTTCTTCTTCTCTAAGTCTTTGACGAGAGAAACTTGAATCGATAGAAAGTACCCCTATGTAACGCGTTCCAATCGTATCGTTGTTGTGGGAGGTAGTAATTCGTTCAGGGTGTTTTAATACATGTAGAAATGGATATTTGTTAAAAGTAGCCTTTCATTTGATCGATATTTGTCTTTTTTGTTACTTCTGAGTGGCGACCAAGGAAAAAAGAAGCATAAATAGTTGAATTTCACAAAGTTCGTTAGTGGCCTTGAGCGATTCAAACTTTCTGGCCGTTTCGCAGGCTCGCGAAATTTCAAAAGTAGTGAATCATCTTACTGTAACATGTTACAGATAGATGGCCTATTGGTAGGCTTCTTGCCGGCTACACTTACCGACAGTAGGCCCATTAATAAGCTTCTTGTCGTTGCCGCATACCGACTGTCGGTCTATTATCGACCTTTTGCTCTGACACTTATGAATTGATTCTTATGATAACCAATGAGACGTTCAGCCATCATCGGTCGATAAATTGTTAGGGGTTATTTACCTACCTAAGGAAAGCTTTGAGATTCCAAATTTCAAAGCAGTTTAGCATTCTGTAGAAATATATCTCGACAGATACAAGAAGAGAATCGTCGCTCACCACGTACATTGTAAATCTAACGAATCGAATATGTTTGAAACCGTCAAACTATACGAAGAAATAGATTTAGCCGTCTTACACGGATAGAATATGAAAAGTGTCGAATACCTGTGTAGGATGCGTTCCTGCAAGGAGCAACATTTTCGCCCATAACTGTTCCTTTGCTCGTCAAAAATCCCCCCGAGCGTTACTTGAATTTCACGTAGGATTTATCAGTTCTTCTGGTTTCATTTACGCGAGAAGGTATCGTCGATATGCACCTCGTTATTTCTTTTTGCTCGTGTTAGATGGTAAACGCGTCGATCTTGTCAATTATTTTCTCATGAATGAAACACGATCGTGTCTTTTAACGAGGTTGCTTCGGTCCATAGAAAGCTGTTCGACTGCGAACGTCGATCAGATTTCTAGATGAGGGAAGCTCCCCATTGTTCATGGACTCGACCGCGAAATCGAAACGTTTTTCGCTCCGAAGGATCTTATGGATTCTACCTTGCGACAAAATCTAATAAATAGTCGATGACAGTAAATGATAATAGCAGAGGTTGTTTACCGCTCATGAAGTTGTAGATCAAAGGATTAACCGCGCTATTGAAGTAGCAGAGGCCGTGTATGATTAGGGTGACAGAGTTCATCGTCTTGCTCGACGGTAGCTTTATGGTGTATCTGAAACAGTAAATCGACTCGTTGCGTTCTTCGTTAAACGAATACTCTAGAACCTCCTTTATCCTCCTTTATCGAGTTCTGATTTCATTTTCTCTAGTTGTACGGTTCCTGACAATTGAACTAATAGTTGTATCAATTAGAACTATTTGAAACAATTTGAACTGATTGCAAACGAGCTGGAGACACAGATTCGCGAGCTTCAAATTTATACAACTATTAGCCAGATTGATCAGGAATGATAGAATCGTAGGTAGGTTGGGTACGAGAAGGTTAATACCTGATAATGGAGAATACGTGGACAGGGAAGAAGCAGATGGCAAAGGTGATGACAACCGTGACCAACATTTTCGCTGCCTTGCGTCGGGATCTCAGCTGTCCCTCGGGATTTCCTCCTCCGGAAGGAGGAGTTTGGCTCAACTGCGAGGCCCGTGCCGGCACTACAAATACGTGCAATAATTATTCATTTCGAGGACTTGCAGCAATCTTAGAATACACATCGCGAGGTAGATATTGTAGATTGCTCGGGAGCTTTTAGTCTAGCAATATGAACGTTTTAAGCGCCGACGATCCCGTGAGGTTAAATGTCGCGTTAAACACGATTGTTACGGTTCGGAACCCCGAATGCTAGGAGCATCGATAAGAAAAGGTGCCAGAGAGTAGGAAAAACCTCACTCGTAACGATCTCGAAGCTAAAGACCTGAGCACGTCGTAGGACTCTGTACTATCCGCGTTACGTCCTACGAATATGTCCAGCGCAGACAATGTTTTTCTTATAGCCGATGTAGAAATAATGAACGATCGTTCTTCTTACGGTTATGTCCAGGAATGTTGTTCCTCCAGAGGACCCTGATGATCTGCCAGTAGGCTACGCTCATGAAGATCAGTGGTCCAATGTAATGGAAGATCAGCTTGATGACGGTAAAAGTGATTTGACTCTCCGAGCTCCAAGATATGCTGCACTGCGTAAACACGATCATCTTCACTCTGAGGTGTCTCGGCGGAGTTACGTGGAGCACCACTAGTTCCGGGATATCTGCGCAAATGGTGAGTAACGGATGCTTTTCTTCCGAATATGTATCTCTAAAAATAAGACGTCGAGTGCGCTAATCTCGAAATGAGTCTCTACCGTGTGTACAGTACGAGGAGTAGCGTTCGCATTTACATATTTCTACAAAGAAATGGTCAATTTGAGGATTTATTATTTAGCAGTTAAGACATAGGTGTAAACTAAGCTAACCCTTTAGCCTGTAACAACGTGCGAGACACGTGATCAGGAATTCGAGTACAGAAAAGAGTCAGACGCGTCAAGGGACTTAATATTTGATTAAATCGTAGACCACGAATTAAACAGCGATAGATATCTGAAAAGTCTCGGTAAAGTCATATTACACGTTTCAAGGATGTTCCCGTTAAGTGTAAACAATAATGTATCGTGCGTCTCGCTGAAGTAGGTAACGGAGAAGGTTACCAAATAGTAACGCTACCGCCCAGATTCCGATGATCGCAGTTTTCGCTCGTCCCGTTGTCGTCTTGAAGTCGAGAGGGAAGCATATCGCGTACCATCGGTCTATGGATATGAAAGTTAGGGTCAATATGCTCACGGTCACCGACACTGTCTGGAACAAACACGAAACGAACATGCAATAGTAGACTGGAACAGTAGTTTTCATTAAACAATTCTCGACACGTATAGTCTTAAATTATTATTTTCGAGGATAAAGTTACGTTCTCCTCGTGTATCGTATCTAGAACAGCTCAAAGGACTCCGCTGTTTCGATTACTACCACGGATTGTCTAAGGAAAAAATTAATCGTCCTTATTTGCAATTCTAATCCTTTCATTCATGAAATTTCCATAATTTCCGCACCGCGCAGAATTTCCATGTTCCATCGGAGATCAGAGATAAACGATAGAGCGAAGGTAGTAATAAAACGCTTAAGAGTCGTTGAAACTACAGCTACATACTTCGGCACACCGCACGAAAAATTCTACCTTCGTTGGTAAACAAGCTTCCGTTTACATACGAGGATGCGAGGGCATTTATTTCACTTTTTCCAGTTTGATTGGGCGCACTTACGCGTTGCGTAGGCATACCCACGTTTTGACTGTCGATCCGATAACGTGCTTTATTCGCGGTCGAGCAGCCAAAGGGGGGCACGTCATGAATATAAAACGAAGGTCTAGAAAATACGAGCAAAAGATCCTACGAGTCCCGTTTCTCGAAATTGATCAAACTGTTTCTTCGATACCATATTTCTTCTGTATGTTTTTTTTTTTTTTTTATGACATAGAATTTATCGCCGCGCGTTTTTGCCGACGAGTTATCCCCTGTATCATGGGCCGAGAAGGGAGTAGAACTTATAAAAACGATTCGGGCACGGTGTTTTGACCTACATTTCTTGTTGTATTCATAAAACGCGGCCGGACAGGCGAGTGAAAGATTCATCGGGCAATTACCAGCTTATCGGGATCTCGAATTGATCATTAAGTAAATTGGATTTCAGATAAATGCGTCGTGTGCGTGCGTTCGACGGCGTTGTGGAGGTTTTTGCGTTCCGTTTTACGATGGACGGTGAATTAACGCGATAGCATGCCGTTGAACGTTTCTCGCGTGATGCCTTTTCCCAGTGGGGTCGGGTTAACGCGTTTAAGAGGCCGTAGTTGACGCTGTCGATTGAATTTCGGTATTGTCGTCAAAGGCCTTGTTACGGAGTTGCTGCGCAACGTAGGTGTATTCGAAGTGATCGACGTCGGTTGACCGTGCAAAGTAGACATTCTCAACCTTGCCATCGGAGACATTAGTCCACCCTCTAATTAAGCGTTCAACCTCGACGCAGCTTTTGACCCGCTTCAATCGAAACGCGACTTTTGATCTGTTATGCGATAAGAAGTGATTCACGAGCTACCAAGAGGCGCCCACAAATAGAGTGGTAATTCGAAGTCGCGTGGGGACCACCCGCAGAAAAGAGCACAACTGTTGGGCTTGGAAAGCTGTTCTAAACACAAGATTCTAATCGTTTACCCCTGCTGGCGTTTACTTGGTATGCAAAAATTAAAGCCTCTTCTACGATTTTTCTCTACTAGCTAAAATGTTAAGAAGGTCATTCGTACCTAGAAGCTTCAAAGTCTACATCTTTTTTAGCACCAATTTTGAAAAAAAAATTCCAAGAGAAGCGCCTTTAAACATTCACGCGACCCAGATTGCTCTCAAATGAACACCCGCTCGACAAAGTACGAATTACGAATGAAACACGCGGTATTTCTCTGTTTCCTAGCCTGCTCCCGAGTTCTTAATACGAAAAACATTAACGAGTCCAGAATGGTAGTTCTTAGTCACTCGAACATGAATATAAAAAAAAAAAAAAAAATGTAACAACTAAGAACGTTTCGTTGTATGTATTCCATCGATACTCGCGAATTTCCACGTCTCGTGGAGATTAAAAGTGATCATGTGGGAGTTTCCCGCGCCAAGATCCGATTTAACGGCGCTTTATGTAAATGAAAGTTGGACTCGGTTCTTTTCGTCGTGTAATCTAGACGTAGCAGCGAAAATTAATTGAAGAACTAAGAATCGTTTATTCCAAGGTAGATAACAGGACCGTACAACCCTGGGGATGCTTTAATTCCAGCGAAAGGAAGAGGTTTGCAGCAACCGTTGCAACTCTTCGAACAATGGTTATCGCGAGTTGGAAGCACGATGCTGATGCAAAGAGATTACGACGACGTAGCTTTCTCGCGGCGGACGATTTATCATTTTCTCTCCGTGTTTTGTTTGAATAGAAAAGCCGCGAGTGGATGATTCAATTCTCGCCCCGCGACGGACACCCTCTTGCAACATTATTCATCATTCAATCTTCACTTTCGATATTAGTTTACTCGGTCCACAGAATTTTACAATGCGCCCTCGAGTTCGCTATCACCGCTCTCTGCAAAGCGAATATTCCGCGCTATCGCGCGACTAATTTTTCCCCGTTTGGGGCCAACGGAGTTATCCCTTCTACTCCCCCAACGTTTTTGTTTCGTGAGCGCGAGCGACGAGTGAAGGCGGGTAACGCTGTAATTCGCGATAAAACCGGGCAGGAGTTAATTCCTCTGAAAATAACTCGCCACGGTGGAATAGTTGTTTTTTTTTCACGGGTGTCCCCGTTTCTCCTTTTGTAATAGTTGCTCGATTTCCGTCGTCCAAGAGAGCAAACGCGTGGCGCGAGGACTCGAAGATCGCGTTCGAGGCGCGTCAAACTTTATATTCATAGAGGTTTTAAAGGTCGATCGTTATCTGCCGCGCTCGTAATAATTACAGTCGGTCAAGGACCACTCGATGGGAAGATATTCAGCGTGTAACGCGAATCGATCCGTTGGAAAACGGAGTTCCTGGGTTTAATGCGCCAGAGCAAATTGTTCCAAAGCGAGCTTTCGCTTGTCGTTACCGTATCTAGGATACTTTCCGCGCAATTAGCCATCGGGGTTCAACCGTTGAGAAGGAAATACGTCTTAATGTATTCGTCGTAGACGCAATTCCAAGTACACGCAGAGGTAGATGTCACGGTTGAAAATTGCACAGACGAAATTAGTTTGATTAGGTGGCTCGATTCGATTGGCTCGAGTCTCGGACACGGAGGTGTTGACGGAAAGGAAACACGTCGCGGATCGAGTAATTCCGCTTGGTAGCCAGGAGGCTGACGGATGGCTTGCGCTTGTCGACCAAGCAAAACGCATTGTTTTCTTTTTTTCACGCCCGTTCTATCTGGTGCGAAACGATTGTTTGCCACGCTAGACGACACGGAGCACGTTTTAATTAAATCTGGGCTATCTACCGGTCGCACACGCAACTGCGTCCGTCACGGCAGCTTAACTTGTGCGTGATAGCGACAATGCCACTTGCCGCTTTACGTCTCGTTCACCAGCGATCACGCCCGTCACCATTGAATCGACGAGAACTAGACCAGAGATGATAACGCATCGGGTATCGAAATCGTTTCTCCGAGTTGTTTTTGCTGTTCCTAGCTACCTATTAATCAGTGAGATTATCGTTTTGGTGGTCGTCCCTTCGAATGGTATCGTTGGTCGAGGACGAAGGAAACGGCATTAGGTCGGCATTCTGAAAAAATTATGCGATCAACGCAGTCACGAGAAGGAGTTATTCTAGGTGAAATATCACCTAGATAAAACTACTGGCTGACTAGGGTCGACTACTCTACCGTTGCGATACAGTACACGACACGCGAAGCTTTATATCACTAGAGCCAGCCGGTCTCGTGTCTTCCGGGTTTATGTCCCGACGTTGTGGATCAACGAAACGCGCTTCGTCCGCCTCTTTCACGCTCGATATTAATTGCATCGTAACAGTTTTCATGTTATACTGTCCCAGTTATTCCAACTTTGTATTATTTGCCCTTTAATTTTCAACATTCGATTGAATTTTGCTGTTTCGAAATCTTAAATTCCCTATCTTCAGTTATTCTCAACGCGGTTAACATATTCATTGTGATTCTTTTCTTTTCGTTTTGATAACTATTTATCTTTAATTCCGCCAAGTAATACTCGACACGTGTCACACGATATTATGATGCAATCGTCTCCGATAATTACGTGTGACTTTCATAACTCGAACGTGCAAATTACATATTTGCTCAAACTTTCCGCGTTTTTACGATCCACGTTACACTTTAACGGGAAACATAACCACAATCACACACGTGGCCATCAAGTCGAACACACCGACTTGTTTGTCTTGTAGACTCCTTTCGTTCGCATATACTTCCAGACACTGTTTAGTATTATTTTAATAATTGTGGAAATTTCATCCACATTTCTCAATTTTTCTAACGAGTAAAATAATTGTTCGGCCAGTACATCGTAACGTATAAGTAACGAGCGTCGTTCCACTTTTCTTCCGAAATGCTCGAGATTCCGCGTGGATTCCGCGAGAAAAAGCCCTAGCTCGAAACATTACCACTCAACGACACGGAATACATTTACGAGCCGGTGGAACAAAATCCCGAGTCGTTGTCGTTACACGGTTCACGGGTCGCGAAACCCTGGCAACTTTGCCATCCGTGCACGGGATTGATGCAGCCGCGAGTCGTAAAGAAGCATAATCGGTCGCGGTGCGGCGATTAACCTGAAACTTTTACCCGCCTGTCCCGCGTGGCGTTTAAATCACTGCCAATGAGGGGGGTGGAACAGAGTTATGACAACGCAAAGATTAAACGCCACATATTTTCCATCCACGCGATGAAATTTTTAAGGGGATGTACTGAGGGTGCTATAAAAACGACCTAATGGAGGATCTTTGTACTTTTTTTTTAGACCAAAGTAGTACGCACATTGAAGGATATTTCTCACCGATGGTCTTCAGCTTTCAGATTAATATCGTAAATAATTTTTATGTTATAAAATTGTAAAAGTGTAGTTTCCTTCTTCTGGTACACTGGTCCAGCGTACATACCCTGGGGAGCGACGGTATCTCCATACGTTTCTGGAAGTTAAGCCACTCGAATGGAGCTCGGAATTCTAGGCTTCCTGATTCCTAACGAGGCCGTGCTAGTTTGCCATTGAATTAAAAGTCGAAACATGTCCACGACATCATTTCGTCCCTTTTTTGCTCGGAAACATC